GCGTAAGCTCTGGTAGAGAACATATGAAGGTGTCACTGAAGCGAAAGCATACTTGGAAAGTCGCGTAGAGGAGTTGGATAGATGCCAATTTTGTGCCGTCCGCCTTTTTATCGACACGCCTACTTGCTGGCGGAGCAAGCTAGCATCGACTGCTTACACCCCATCAGCTCGATCTTGTGTTGTTTGAAGGAAGGATGCTAAGATAAAGTCGGAGGTCTAGTGGAAAGGCAAGCGGGCCCTGAGGGTGCGTGACTATGTGAGATTCGCAGCGGAGGATATGCCTCCAACAGCCCAGCGGGCCCATACTAACGCGCATATCAATGCGCGGAAAGAGATTTTATTGAATCTAAGATGTATTTTTTTCAGTCCTGCACCACTAACCGCCTCTACCTTGATTTGTAGAAGGATTTCTTTGTAAACTCTACCTTCAAGTGATCTTCAGCATCGGACTAAAGAGCAGCAATCGTTTAAAGAGCTCCTTGCCTCTTACTTCTTAAGCAAAGTAGAATTCAAGTTCGGCCTCAGGATCAAGCGTGCGTTGAGGAATCCTCGACACATCACAGGGGGGGGGGGCAGGGTCAAGCGTGCGTTGAGGAATCCTCGACACGTCACAGGGGGGGGGGGTCGTATTGGCCCGCTGGGGGAAGAGATCGGGCCGATTGATGCAGTAGGATCATCGTCGGAGGACAAACATCAAGGATCGAGTCGATGCCAGGCCAGAGGATTTCCAATAACAATGATATTTCACCCACACAAAATTTTCGTGATTCAGAGGTGTCCGCGGTAATTCTTAGTTACTTCAGTGTTTTATCACCACACAAGGAATCCGAAATTCGCACGTTTTCCAAGGATATTTTATCTTTCAAGTAAGTCCTCGAATCTGAAGGGATGTGAAGCACACGGCGCATCCCAGAGTGGGCCCAGTTGGTTGCGCGCGCTTCAACTACGGCTCTCTGGAGAAAGAATCTCAATTCAGGAAAAATCAAGAGGATTCTGAAAGGGTTCATGTGAAATTACAGGGAGGAGTACACTATTCAACGCAGCCTTCAGCGTCAAATTCATAAGCATGTAACCTTTAAAGTTGAGATACGCTAAACAATTTTACACTTTCTTGGAAAGAGAAAAGCACGAGGATTCCGAATCTGCTCCTACTTTAGTATATAATCGCCCCTGAAAGGAGCTATAGTCGTTGAAATAGTGCCAATGTAGCGAAAAAGTACCTTTCGGCGGTACTCGGGCAAAAATCCTCAACGTGGCCATTTTTGGGACGTATTAAGCTGTTCTATACCCCTTCGACAGAGCAAAACCTAGTTTGTGATGACTTATTACGATTTCGGATTGGATGAGTTTGAACGGAGTTATTGCGGGAGGGAGTTATGTAGTTATTGTGGGAAGTGGAAAAACTCACACCACGAATTTTCCTCTTTAATTTTGCAAAAATCCTCGACGTGCCCATTTTTTCAATAAAGCTGCTTTAGTGATCGTTGATAGAGAAAGAAAGAGAAGAGAAGAAAGAAGAGAAGAAAGAGAAAATCTTCTAGTTTTGTATGCCATATTAACTTTTCGAATTTGACGAAAATGAAGCAAGTTGTTGCTTCGGAAAGTGTAAAAACTCGTGCTCATCTCGAATTTTCCTCGTTAATTGACCTAAATTTGTTATTTCTTATAACTTTTTGTAATTTCAATACTGATTGAAAAGAGCTCTTCACAAAACTTCCAAAATCTGCTTTCAGATTGAAAATTCGTCATATTTGAAGAAAGTTATAATCATTTGAATATTTGTTCAAATTTCAATAGTAAATAAGCTGCTCCACGGTCAACGCCAAAGTCCAGTCAACACACAGCTGGGGCGGTATTCAATCCTTCCCCCAGGGGGATATATCCCCCTCCTCTGATTCAATCCTCTGGGGGGACAAAAAAGGGTTGCGTCATAGGACCTAGCATACCTCTGTGTTTCTACCTGCCAGACAGTTAGAGCAGCGCTACTACCCTCCACTGATGAAGCACTCTTTCCCCTGAGGGGTCGCGCTGCTCTAACTGTCTGGCAGGTAGAAACACAGAGGTATGCTAGGTCCTATGACGCAACCCTTTTTTGTCCCCCCAGAGGATTGAATCAGAGTAGGGGGATATATCCCCCTGGGGGAAGGATTGAATACCGCCCAGATGGAGAAATTTAGTACTCTGTATAGTACTAAAATTTGGTAAGTTTGCGAAGGAACAAAGAACAGATGTTTCCATACTATGCCATTTTAGTGACGTTTTTTGTTCCTTCTCTGTTTGGTCGTTTGGTAGGACTCATCAATAATGATTAATTTTTTGACTTTTCACTTTTGTACTTTTTAAAAGAATTTTTCGGTTGACGGTGGATAGCAGGGCTTTTTTATGAACAGTTTTGGGGGAGAATTAAACAACCTTTCCATAGTTCGGCTTTTGAAGAGGGTCGTTTCATGGACTTCGGCCTCTGGCGGAGGGAGGGGGGGTCGTATTTCCAAATTTTCCTCGACGCCTCGCTTGACCCTGGTTCCCGGCAGCGTCTTACCTTGGTACTCACTTCTAACTCTGGCAGTGCCACTAATCCTTTGTGCAGACTCTTCCTAGCTCAATAATGCTCCAAGCACTATAATCGACTCTGGCCTTTAGCGTCTTTTGTGTGTCTGACATCCATGTACAAGTAAACACCCCACTTGCCCGCTCCAACATCTTTGGACGCAGAAGTGGAACAAACACTAGTAGAAGAATTTTAGTATTACAACTTATGCGCGGCGCTCCATCATAAACACCCAAGGTGTTGGGGTGTATGAAATAGTAGGTTCTAGCAGTGAGACAATGACTCAACGAGCGGTCGCGTGCACCAGCTTTGGTTAGTTTTGCATATTCAGTGAATCTGCGCTCGACCGTTGCAATATTTACGTGGTATGAAGAGGTTCAAGTTTGTGACTGCTACAGCAAATTTTTATGCAAGTTTGTACGCTCCAGTAGAACCGTAGTCATTTGCCTAACTTATTTTGCAAGTAACGTGCAACCGACAGTCTTTATTTTCAAAACAGCACACTCCTTATTGGAAATATCCAGGTGCAGTTCTCGGAGGAGGACAATGATCGCAAGCTCCACGTTTACCATCTGCTCCACGATCTCCTGGGGCGCCTTCCGCTCCTGGGTTTCCTGGTGGACCAGGTCTTCCTGGCGGTCCAGGTTCTCCTGGTTGTCCTGGGGGCCCTTAAATGATCATTTTTCTCAACAGTTAATCATAAGATTGGGAGCAACCAGAGAGAAAGTAAAAGATATGTACCAGGTTGTGATCCTTGTCCAGGACCTCCAGGTGGTCCATCAGCCCTCTTGTCACCAGACACCCAGATGACCTGTTGCCTCCAGCACCAGGGCGAATAACCCCATCCCGACCGTTCTGACCTGGCTCACCACGGGGTCCAGGTATTCCTGGCCTTCCTGGTACACCAGGTGGACCAGGCGGACCATTGGCTCCTGGTTGACCAGGTGATCCTGAAAAAAGTATTTAAGGCGCGATAGAATTGTCAGCCTCAAAATGAAACTTACCAGGGTCTCCAGGTATAGAGGGTGGGCCACGTGGACCTGTGGTCAGGTGGAACCACAGTTGTTTCGCAGGACACTGGCGATCTTTGGTCTTAGGGTAGCTGTTAAAAACAATTACTTGATGCCAACACTAAGTATGAGGGTTCAGAAGTAAAAGAATAAGCGATGAAGCAGCCGACGTTGTCCCAGTTTGGGATGCGCCACGCGTTCGATTTTTGTTAACAACTGATGCGGCCTTTTGATAGATAGCTTTCACAGGAACTCAAACAAAAAAAGTAGTCGCCGCTAGAAAACCAAAAAATTGCATTCGCATAAGAAAATGTGGACAAACGATCTTCTGGAGAAAAGGGCGAGCCTTCATAATGATACTTGATATAGAAAAGAAAAGAACTACATGTCCTGAATTAGCTTTTCCAAAAAACGGTCGCAAATTTAAAGAAGTTGAGGTCTTCAGAAGAAAGAGCCGCTCAGGGAAGAGTTGGAATTTCTATTTTCGTTTTTATAATCAGGGAGCTGTCCAAATGGTGAGGGAATTTCAACAGGCCTCTGAAAACCGAAGTCTCGGTAATCAGAAATCTAAGTTCTGCAAAATTTCAGATTTTTAGGAAGTTATGTACGTTTGATTACTTCACGCGATTATCCTTGCTGTCTCAAAAAATGGTGCGATTTCGCGCAAGAACCGTGACCATTGTTTCACTGGAGTAACCGGTGCATCGAGAATTCCGTATAACTGTAATGTGACTGTAATAAGAGGGTCG